TAACAAGTGCGTGAATTTGTTCCCCCAAGTCAAGATTACCCGTGCCAACAACTGCGGATAGAACGACGATTAATGTTACACTATCATATCCTTCTGCTGATCTAAACAGGCTCTTAAAACAACCAACAGCTACCAAATTTTGGCCCGCTTGAAGATATTCCGACAATTTCTTGTTCCAAGAAAGTATATCCAAGCCCTCGTCCAATGGAAACATCTTCATCTTATAGGCCTTGACCTGCTCCTTGTACCTCTTTATGTTATCAGAACCGTCATTGTTAACACCACCAAGAAGACAATGCAGGCTCGAGAAATCGGGTAAGATCCCACTCCGATGAAATGCAGAGAAGAACCGAAGAGCTTCGTCCTCGAAGCCATGTTCAACGTAAGCCTTGAGCATGACATTCCACAGCACAACATCTCTTTCAGGCATTTCATTGAACAGTAAACGTGCCTCACCAAGCAAGCCATATTTGCAGTAAATATTCACAAGAGCCCCTGAAACAAACAGGTCCAACTCCAATCCAATCTTAACAGCAAATCCATGAACAGCCTCAGATACCTCCACAAAGCCGGAAACCAAACACAGCTTCAAGATTGGCGCCAAAGTAAGCCGAGTCGCTGAAAAACCAGACTCCCGCAGAAGGCCAAAGAGGCGAAAGCCCTCGAGAAGATTCTCGACACTGGAATCGGCAGAGTGCGCATAGGCAGCTACAATGGAGTTCCAAGTAATGAGATCACGGTCAGAGGTTTTATCAAACACCTGGCGGGCGTAGAAGAGGGACCCGCATTTGAAATACATGGTGATGAGATTGTTGGTCAGAAACTGATCGGGGAGGTGGCCGGAGGTTATGATACATGCGTGACCTTGCTTGCCTAGCTTCAAGTTGGCGGTGGCAATGGCAGAGCGAAGAAGAGAGAACCATTGAGACGAGGAAGAAGACGGCGGCCACGGCGGAGAGGGGGAGAGATATGAGAATTGGCGAAGTAGGAACGGGCAACAAAAACTTTTGGGAT